CGGTAATGTTCACATCGATACTCTACGGTAATGTTCACATCGATACTCTACGGTAATGTTCACATCTATACTCTACGGTAATGTTCACATCGATACTCTACGGTAATGTTCACATCGATACTCTACGGTAATGTTCACAACGATACTCTACGGTAATGTTCACATCGATACTCTACGGTAATGTTCACATCGATACTCTACGGTAATGTTCACATCTATACTCTACGGTAATGTTCATATCTATACTCTACGGTAATGTTCACATCTATACTCTACGGTAATGTTCACATCTATACTCTACGGTAATGTTCACATCTATACTCTACGGTAATGTTCACATCTATTCTCTACGGTAATGTTCACATCGATACTCTACGGTAATGTTCACATCTATTCTCTACGGTAATGTTCACATCGATACTCTACGGTAATGTTCACATCTATACTCTACGGTAATGTTCACATTGATACTCTACGGTAATGTTCACATCTATACTCTACGGTAATGTTCACATCTATTCTCTACGGTAATGTTCACATCGATACTCTACGGTAATGTTCACATTGATACTCTACGGTAATGTTCACATCTATACTCTACGGTAATGTTCACATTGATACTCTACGGTAATGTTCACATCTATACTCTACGGTAATGTTCACATCGATACTCTACGGTAATGTTCACATCTATTCTCTACGGTAATGTTCACATTGATACTCTACGGTAATGTTCACATCTATACTCTACGGTAATGTTCACATCGATACTCTACGGTAATGTTCACATCTATACTCTACGGTAATGTTCACATTGATACTCTACGGTAATGTTCACATCTATACTCTACGGTAATGTTCACATTGATACTCTACGGTAATGTTCACATCTATACTCTACGGTAATGTTCACATCTATACTCTACGGTAATGTTCACATTGATACTCTACGGTAATGTTCACATCGATACTCTACGGTAATGTTCACATTGATACTCTACGGTAATGTTCACATCGATACTCTACGGTAATGTTCACATCGATACTCTACAGCTTGAGCCAATGAAACATAAATCAATTGCCTCAAACTATATTTCTTATGTCCATGGAAACTATTATATAAGACTTGGCACAAAGTATATTTTCTTGTTGAAGGAAGTCAATTAATTTAAATTCTATATTTAATCCAAACAAACAAATATAGATTTTATCAAACAGTTTTTTCTCGTTAAAATTAACTAAATGTTATTTGTTTTATCCAATCAAAAATGTATACATTTTGTTAAACTATAATTGTCTCATTTAATCTAATCCAAAAAAATATAGATTACATCAATAATTCTCATTATACATTGTGATATTTAATAACGGGTTTATTACTTATAAAACACACATATTTACGGGGTATCTGCATTGTTCAAACTGCAGCGCGGTATAAAGGCATACAAATGAAAAAT